ATAAACAGAGGCTGTTTGTCTGTGCTCACTGTTGAGGCACAGAGAGAGAGAAGAAAAATGGGAGAGTCTAGCGGGAAAGGGAGGGAGAGGTAGCTACCCGGGATAAAGTTACCTGTGCACAGGTGACCTCGTCGCCATGGGCAGTGGATTAGCTGATTGTTAGGTATCAGGTAACTCCTCCTGTAATATTGAAGAGGGTGAAAACAGCTTTGTTGGAGCCCAGAACAATATCCCATTCGCAGCATGGTCCGTGGGTCTCACGGGGAGGGGGCTACAGAAAACTCCAAATTCCACCTTTTGTATTGTGCCTATAAATTAGACAGGAAAGGAGCACAATTGTTCCCTCACAGAAGATGTGTTGTGCATTTTTCATGAGGACTGCTGGTTGTTGAATTTTACATTTTAACTGCTCCATTTCATGTGGGAATATCAGGATCCCCGTATCTAAATAGTAGTGGATCATTTTGTCCACAATTTCAAATATGCAATGTAAAACTTACTTGGGTGTGCAGTAAAAAATTGGGGAACTCCCCCAGAACTCTGGCCTTATTAAAAACACTGACCTATGATCTTTCAGATGGTTTCAAAGCTGACATTTAATGCGGCGCAGCAGACTGCAAGCCATATGTAACATGACCTGGGGAGCACGGTACTCCACTGCTCCACGTCCCACTAATGAGAGGGCAGGGGTCAGCGGGTACCAGCCTGCTGCAAAGAACCACCACTACTGGCCAAGTCATGAGAGGACTTCTCCCTCCTGGCAGAAACTAAATCTGCCCCTGGCTCTTGTTGGGTTGTGGAAAGTATACTGGTGTTTATGAACTAGGAATACATGTCCTCAAGCCTTGTTGCTTTTTCTCTTACCTCCACTTAAAATAATTGGGTTGTTGCTTGGCAGGGTAAAAGGTATGTGCACTTCATCACCCAGTGTGGGAAAGATGCAACCAGCATGATTCACTGGTTTCTTCAGGACTGCAAGGAAAGAAAGTACAAGTCAGTTTTCAGAGTGCATTGGTGAATGTGACACTCACACAGAGGCAGCAGCTGGGGGGCAGCATCAGGTCCACACCACAGCATTTCCCAAAGAGAAAAACAGCACTTTGTAACAGGAGCAGCAGCAGATGAGGCCTGCCATGATCAGTGGAGATCACGCACACACACCTGCTGCTCAACGGCCTGCTATAACTTTTTCATTTGCTAAAACACATGCATCCTCCGAGGAGTAACATCCTGACTTGTATGATAGCACTGTCATGGCGCCCCCTCCCTGCCAGAAGGCTCACATGGTATAGCGACACATCCCATTTTAATCCTTCCTTTTGTTTGTTTATGTGTTTGTTTCACCGCCTTGTTTGTTTACTTACAGCCCTGCAGCTCAAAAAAAGAGAGAATTGTCCTAATCATCTGTATGCCCGGGGCGTGTTTACTGAGCAGAGCACTGTAAAAGCCGAGGCCGTAATTGCATATTTGTGAAGGTGGTCCTCTGAGGAAATGCGTAATGATTTTGATGGGGGGCTAACCCCAGTGCACTTGTACCAGGTCTAATTTTCCAACATGACAGGAAACTCTGTTAAGCTGATAATTGCAGCTCCAATTTCATTTAACTCACTCATGTCAACAGTTGTGTTTTGTTTTGAGAGAAGGAGCTGCTTTTTTTCTCACTGCCTTTCACCTCACAGAATAAAGCGCTTTAGTTCTTAATTAAATGCACACATTTAGGACATCTTGGAATAACCAGAAACGTAACACCAATCGTTTACTATTGATACGATTTTACAATCTGTCAATAAATGTGCAGTTAGTCAAATTATTATTTTTGTGATTTAATTATGTCTATAAGGAAACAAAAATAAAATAAATGTACCTCTTCTACGAATGCTTTAAACAATCTTGACTTAAAGGAAGACGCTGCGTTGTTCATTTTGTTGATTGGATAAATAAATAAATGTTCACTGTAGGCTATGTTGTTTCAGTGCAGTAAGAGGACACCCTTAAGATGTCACCAAAATCCCTCCCGGAAAAAAACCCTGGGGACCAAATCAGACATTTTTCACTTAATTTAAACAGTATCGGCTTTGTTCCAGTCGATACAGCTGAAATAGCACTTTGGATTTAGATAGAGTGAAAACCATCTGTTCATTGAGCCAGTGGTCGGTTCACTTCTCAAAAAAATAAACTCTCTCCAATAGGAAACACTGGCTTTTCTGATGATGACATTTTTATGAAGTGTTTTCTGGTGTTTTTGAGTTGGGACTTTTCTTTTCTCTCTTGTCCCACATGACCGGAGTCACCGTGACTTTTCATTCGTTTTCCCAGTAATATAGGGTGTAACAAATTCCTATAATACAGCTATTTTCATAAATCAGTAATCAATAAATCGTTTTCACCTCAAAACTGCTATCATCATGAGGTAGGATAACTTAACAAGCAGAGGGCCACATTTCTCTGAGGCCTACCTCCATTAAATCGGTTTAATGAGAAATGGCAAAAAGTTTATTTTCTCCTGAATACAGTGTGACTCATTTTGGTTTTCCGGAAAGGCAATGACTAAAACTTGGAGCATCCATCCGTGATATTTAACAGCCCAGAGCGTCCAGGAGAGGCAGGCAGATTCAATGCGTTTTATAGGGTAAAAGACGAGTTTCACGTAAAGAAAATAGCGAGAATAAAGACTCCCTGGCCCACTATGAGAGGAGTAACGAGTGATAGCCTACCTAAGTATTGCATTACTTCTCGGGGTTTGAGGAGCCCATGCAGCCCTGGCCGTGTAAGAGGCGTAGAGTCCACATCTTGAAATAATCTCGCCCCCCGGGCTGCTCGGGTTAAAGGAGGAGGCGCGGCGCAATGTGGTAGATATATTAGAGAAACCCGAGAGCCGCTCATCAGACAGCTCATTTACTGAAGCTCTGAGGTTTTACACACAGCCGAGTGCTGCTGGACCCCAGCCTCAAGTGGCCTGAGAGCCTGTGTGTCCACTGAAGACAGTCCAGCAGTCAATCACAGCAGATTCGTCATGTTTAGGCAATATGGCACGATGGCCTTGCCGCACAATAACATGAGAATTAGCTGTTTTAAAATCTACTTTCATTCATTTTAAATTATATATTTTTTCATCAAACATAAATTATATTTGTATTCAGTGTTATACAAAAAAAATCTATTTATTGCGTTTATTGCAGGCTGATGACACTGTTAAAGATATTGCTGAAAATCATTAAAATAACTTTAAAACTTCAGGCATTGTAGGATGCAACTAAAGCTTTAAGTGTGATGGATCCAATAATGTGATGTTTCCTCCAGACAAACTGTAATTACAGTGCATTCATTCAGGCAAAAAATAGTTTGCAGTCTATCTGATAAATACTCAAATAAACCATGCAAAAAATGATGGTGGTGATAACGTTAAACTGCAGTGTTGTTTTAATTTACACTTACAAAAATAAGCATAGGCTACTCAACGGCCTGACCCAACCTGATTCAGTCATTATTAATTAAACCTTATTTTTCAACATATGCCAACATTCTCTAATATGGGAGAATATGTTGTGATTATGTCGTAGCCTATTTGGGAAACCATTCCTGTTTTTTCGCAAGATAATGTATAGGGGAATAAAAGGTTTTCCAGAGTGGAGCTGTTTACAACTGATCTCTGTTATTTCAGCTGTCTGTCGCCACAAAAACAAGTTCAAAGCATTTTAGCTTTATAATAAAACATTTTTTTAAAGAAGGTCATCTTCTCAAAACGTTTTAAGTGAGTTTGTTTAAGTTAAATAATATTTTCTAGGTCAAATCGTGTTCCATAAACTAAGGGAGTCTAGTTTCAGACGCTGCAGATAAAGAAATGTGATCTATACGGCTCGAACCAACAACTGCACCACCAAGAACCAGTGTGGCAGAGAACTCATTTACTAATGGATTGGTTTAGTGTTTCACCCCACAGAAAACACTGGAGCCAGTGCGGTGCCCGTCTAATCCCTGAAATATAAATGTAGACTACAGGCTGGAAGGAGCGCTTCAAAAACACGTGACGAAAAAAAAGAAAGAAATAAACCTACAACAACAAATTAAAGGAGGAAGGAGGTCTGTGAAATATGTCCAGTATGTAATATTCATTTAAAAATCTATAAACAAAAATAAAGAAAAGTGTCTGTATAAAATCAAAACTCTCACTTATTAAATTCCAGCTTGACATATCTAATTTTTTTAATTTGACGCATTAAAACGAGTGTGAAGGGTGCTGAATATGTGCACGTTTGTCTGTTATTTACAATCTTAAACACACAAAAGCACGCACTCACACGCGCACACAAGCACACACACTTTAAGTGCTGATTTCCGTTTCCTACTGGTGGTCTATGTCCCGTAGCACGTTTGGCAGGTAGTTTAGATTTTCTCGTATAAAAAGGCGTGCGTAATGGCACAAATGGACCCAACAAACATGGGCACTTATTAGATTATATCACCTCATAAAATAAACGGCCTCGGTAATTAATAGAGTATGAAAGGTGAGGATACAACAAAAGTGTTCAATCTGCATGTAATTAAGGCGGGGGGCGTCAACCCTGATCAGCTGTGACGGTAAATAAACCTCCAGTTTAAAGAAGAAAAAAGAAATCAAGATTAATATTTTTGTTATGTTTAAATTAAAGAATTCTGCAGACAACAATCATGGATTGATTATGTCATTGCTTTTAAGTGTTTCAGCCCATACACTGGATACACTTTCCTTTACAGATAAAAAGCGTTGTGTTGTTGTGGCTTCACCCTCCACTGGCTGTGATTACTGATAACGTTTGGAGATGCAGTGTGTGGTTTTGAACCACCAGGGAAATCTGGAAGCCTATATAGTTGCCAGCATTACAGAGGATGTATATTCAGAACATGTTAATAAGGCTTTTTAAGAGGTCTGTAATAATTGATTAGTGTTTAGGTGCTGTGCTCCCTGAGCTGCAGCGGCAGAGGGACTGTGGGGGCGGGAGGTGGGAGCGCTCCTATTTCAGCCCCTGACGCACTGCCTCTGGGGAGGAAACGGAGCTGCAAACTCAGTCCTGCTCTGCTGTACACGGTGCAGGGCAGAGGGAGAGCCAATCACCGAAACGCACAGGCTCCCTTTAAGCCTGACATATCTCCAACAGGAACAAATTGTCCCAACAATCAACATCCCAATCTGCTGCGCGCATCAGGGGCTGGAGTGGAGAGGATCGCCTATAGGCCTGAGCTGCGCGGACGGATCGCGCTGGATTGCATCGCGACCAGAAACTATAAACACTGAGAATTAAACGACAGCTATCGTGTTGGATACCAACGTTTTGGGCGGAGGCGCAAGCTCGGACATCATGTCTATATTGCCGTCATTCGGGTTTACGCAGGAGCAAGTGGCGTGCGTTTGCGAGGTGTTGCAGCAGGGAGGGAACCTGGAGAGGCTCGGCCGCTTCCTGTGGTCCCTGCCGGCTTGCGATCACCTCCACAAGAACGAAAGCGTCCTCAAAGCCAAGGCAGTGGTGGCTTTTCATCGGGGGAACTTCAGAGAGCTTTACAAGCTCCTAGAAAGCCACCAGTTTTCTCCGCACAACCACCCAAAGCTGCAGCAGCTCTGGCTCAAGGCGCACTACGTGGAGGCGGAGAAGCTGCGCGGACGGCCGCTCGGAGCTGTAGGGAAGTACCGGGTGCGGAGGAAATTCCCGCTGCCCCGCACGATATGGGACGGCGAGGAGACCAGCTACTGCTTTAAAGAGAAGTCCCGGGGAGTCCTGAGAGAGTGGTACACGCACAACCCCTACCCTTCCCCGCGGGAAAAGAGAGAGCTGGCCGAGGCCACAGGACTGACCACCACGCAGGTCAGCAACTGGTTCAAAAACAGACGGCAGCGAGACAGAGCCGCAGAGGCGAAGGAGAGGTACGTGATACAGCCTCCGTGCTGCCTGGAATAAATAGACACAAATATTATCATTGTTTGCATGTTTTAAGACAAAAAATAAGGTTTGAGCTGGAATTAAATATTTACAAAATATGTCTTAAAGCAGCAACAGGTTCAGAAAGTGCAGGAATCGCAGTGTTCATATTTCTGACGCAAGAAAGGCAAACGATTGTATTTCTGATAATAACAACATCTTTCCAAGTAAATTTGAACTTTTTAAAAATGTGGTTGTTACGCCTATATATTGCTTAAATTTGATTTTTCCTGATGACAATAATTGTGAGTAAACAGAAGCTTGTTGTTGACAAATGTTTGGCTTTCTCCTGATTTCAGTCTGAATTATAACATAAACATTTTAAAACACTAGGAAAGGGGATAACATTGCGTGTGATAATGTTTTAAAAATACAATAAGCTATATACGTGACATTTTGTGAACTTTTCACGTTTGAAAGGTTAAACTAGGTTACAGTGGAGTAAATTAAGGCACACAACACGTGATTTAAAGTTGCCGGGAACATCAACAGGAAGAGAAATAAACGTGTTCAAAACACATTTACAGAGAAGTTCAATAACTAAACTTCCTCCTTTATTAGTTTAACTTCAATGGTTACGCCTACTTTGTTTTGGTGTGAATACAACAACAATTATTAATTATTTTTTGTTTTGTTGTCATCAACGGATTTAATGCTATTTTCCAAAACTGAGCGTATTTTATTTTTCTAATTTCTCCTTGTTGTCATATTCAGGGAGAACAGTGAAAACAGCAACGCAGGCGGCAACAAACAGAACCAGCTGTCCCCACTGGACGGAGGAAAGTCTCTCATGTCCAGTTCGGAGGACGAGTTTTCTCCACCCCAGAGCCCCGACCCGAACTCAGCGCTTATGCTTCAGGGCAACATGAACCACCCCGGGGCCTCCGCCTACCCCATGTCCGGCCTGGGTCCCCCACAGCCGGTGCACAGCATGCACGGACACCCGCACCAACTGCAGGACTCCTTGTTGGGACCTCTAACCTCCAGCCTTGTGGATTTGGGCTCTTAAAGAGGCTGCCAGATTATTTTATTTTACAACAACAGAAAGAAAGAGGACTGATAAGTGTATCAGATTGATGTATGAAATAACACTATAGTAGCTACCTTATAATATAGACTGACTTGTCTGTCGTTCAATTTGGTTAGGACAAAATTCCTTTTATGCGCTTAAACTGTATATCCCCACTGACAGGAGCATTTTCGTCTCCTGCACACGAAAACACACAAACAGGACCTGTCTGAAACTCTTAACTCGACGAGACACTTAACTGGACTGCCCATTTGCTTAATTTATGATATTTGTTGATATAAAAGGATTATAGCAACATCCTGCGATGGAAACTAAGAGGTAACGTTTTCATTAGTCGTGGTAATTAGTTTCCAATAAAACAAAAGTAATACAATTGTCTCTGTGTTATTTGTGTATTTAGAGAAAAAATAGACATTAATTTAATTCTATATTATAGTGTTTCAGCATATGCAAAACAAATTAATCTGGACTATCTTTATTGTAACTATTTGGGAAGTGGTGAAAATCAGGTTAAATATTTGTTTCACAATTGTTGTTAACCTGTAAAATTAGGCTTTATTTATGCCTGCTGCTTAGAATGAGTAAATACATGGAAAATGACAAACAATCAACAATATATAATACGGTGGAGAGATATCAAACATAATGTGAGTAATTTTGTGTCAAATATTAAAACCTGCTCCACGGGTTCTTTGGGCTTTTAACAATAATAATGCTAATTCAAATCATATATTTCAAACACAGAGTCATAAAGGGAAATGTAATTATACAAACGTGAGTCATCATGAGCAGCTGTCTGTCAGGAGGCTGTTGTGCGCAGGAACCAGCGTTGGTCCCTTTGATTGTCTGCTCTGTAATATGATGACTGAAGGAGAAAGGATTTTTTTTTTTTTTTTTTTCGTCATTTCTAGCCCGAGTGCTGCGGATCATTGGCTTTTTGTTGCCGTGTTTTCTTTACACTCTACGAGAGTTTGCTCTGTCGGTTCTGGGCCATGGGAAAGAGCCACCACTCAACCTCTTATACAAGCTCTGGATGTTCAAACATCCCATATGAAAAACGTCATTGCCTGATGAAATCAATATAGATACCCTATAAACAAAACAAATATTAGTGGCTCAAATAAAGGACATTTAATTTCTTAAATAAAATAAGACTATTAGTAGACACTCCCACTCATATAGGGGTCATAATAATAATTTCCATAATAAACAACAACAATGTTCTACTCATAATAATAAATAAAAGGGACTATATTTGTAGCAATATGAGAATATGTTGGCCTGAGAGCAGGAATCTGGTGAGGGCAGCTCTCCTGTCCCCCCACCCCCCGCCCCGCACTCCTCTTTGGGCTCATGTCAGGGTAAATTGTTTTGAGCAGAGAGCACAGAGGATTTCCTGAGCATAATCTGAAACAGTCGCTGCTAGCATTACTGCCTGATTGCGAAGATTGCAGGGCTGCAGGGCTGCAACGCCCGGCTTCATGGAGGGACCTTGAGGTATTCTGCATCCCGGAGGCCTCCCTCCCTCTGCCTGTCTCTCCCCCTCTGATCCCCTCAGGTCTACTAACAACACCGGGGCTGTGCTCCCCATATATCACCTACAGAGATCCATATGGTTGTGCTTGAGCGATGTGTCTGTCTGAATGTCCTCAGCAGACCTTCCATCATCAGGCTCTTTGGTCAGTGTTTCTGCTTTTTAAATTTGTATTCTAATATGTGATGAGAAAAGCATGGAGTTAATTTACTTGAGTACAATTAGAAATGCCAAATATTCTTGTCAAAAGAAAAAGTTCTGCCTTCAACATTTTACCTTAAAATAGTCCAGATGTATTCTCAGCCAAATACATTTACAGTATTACACAGAGAATCTGTCTTTATTTATTATCATGCTAGTGGACCATTAAGGCAAATTAAAGCAAATGTAAGCTTATTTATGTTCATATTGAGCAATCCTTTAATTATGTTCTGAAAAGAGTAAGATGTATGTAGTGCAGTATGGTCAGATTTCCCTTAAAACTGTAGTGCAGTAAGAGTGTAAAGTAGCATAAAATGAAAACACTAAAAAAACAAAAAAACACCACAATCTGAACATTTCACTGAAAGCCCCTGAAAATGTGTTTTTAAAGCAGTTTTTTTTAAATGTATGGAAAGTTACAAATATGTGTCTTACCAAAATAAATTAAAGTTACAAACATTTCAGTGGTATTATTTATAAAACATTTCAAACTCAAAAGCTCCTCTTATTTGCATCACCAGGAACGTGTGGTTTGATCAGATGTGAATGACAGCGACCTGCAAACCAAAGTAAACAACTAAATCAGATGTTGATTTAAATGTTGCTGAATCTTGATTGGAAAAATAAATATGTGACATAATTTTTTTCCACACAATCCCAGCCACTTCAAACCTTGAGACAAAAACAAAAATAATCCTGAGTCATGAGAACAAAAAAATTCAACTAAAGCAAAAAATAGTTCTCATATACGAATCATCACTCACAGTGCGAGGTGTTTTTAGGGCTTTTAGGTTAGCTATACTAAGAAATGTGCGTAGTTACTACAATAGATTATATTTAAACGTCACTGACAATATCTAGAATTTAATTTTAAAATGTCAACTTTAATGTGATGTGTGTTCTTACAAAAATGATTCCTGGGTAAAGAAAAAATTATAAAACAAACTATATAGATAAAATAATAATTTATATTTAACTTTACTTTAAAAGCAGTCACAGAAAAGTGGATGAATTGAATACACTAATGGTCTTTGTTGTAGTATATTAAGATATAAATGTGTATTATAAAAGCCTTCAGTAATACCCATAGAGCAGAGGTCAGCAGAGAGCAAAATGTCCCGCAGATGAGATATCATTCTGACCAATCACAACATGTCCCTGGCACACTGTGTGGCTAAATATTCACAAATTAACAAACAGGTGATCACAAAGCCACCGGAGCGACTCCTCATACCTGTTAATCTAATGACAACATGTCCGGCAGGGTACACACACACAGCGAGGATTAAACCGGCTCTGTGCCACACGACAGAAGGAGGCTACTAGAGTCACCTTCAGGATGTGCAAGAGACTCAAATCAATCCAACACGGAAACTCTGACATTGCCTTTAATCACGTTTGAATCCCTTGCTTCCGAATCCGGAGGGACAGCGTCTGCAGCCACAAACTGTCTGCTGCATCAGCCTCTCAGAGATGCAACAAGTGCAAGTGGTAGGCGTGCTGCGGCCTATAGACAACATGACAAAAGCTGGAGGTAAACGTCAGTATAAAAAGCAGGCTAGCAACAACAGCTGCTGATGGCAAACAGAGTCCGAGTCATCGAAAGGGCATTTCATTTCTCACAGTCGTAAGTGGCAGTGGCTCTAAATCAACAGCAGGAAGGGCCCTGACGTGTGCAAATAAACATGGAGAGTAGCCTGCATGAGCCTCAGCTGACTTCATGTTTTCTCTGGCATCAGAGTGAGTGTGCATCTCGTATAAGGACAACATCAGAAGATGAGGAACTTTTGCTCGAGTTGCCTTTCATGGTCTGATGCACGCAGGTAGCGTTGCCCCACATGGGAGGAGGGTGTGAGCCAGGTATCCATAACCACAGGCTGTATGAGGGGTGTGTGTCAGAGAAGGGGGGAGACGGGGGAGAGAAGGGAGCGGGGGGCAGGCGGGTGATGAGGGACAAAAGGATCTTTTCAGGTCTGCCTCAGAGGGGCGGGGGTGGCGGTGGGGTAGAGAGATTTTCTTACCAATGATGCATGGATCTGACAATGTTCCTGCCTGGACGTAGCCAGAGGCAGAGTGTGTGTGTGTGTGTGTGTGTGTGTGTGTGTGTGTGTGTGTGTGTGTGTGTGTGTGTGTGTGTGTGTGTGTGTGTGTGTGTGTGTGTGTGTGTGTGTGTGTGTGTGTGTGTGTGTGTGTGTGTGTCTTAGAATATATAACTGATTCAAATAAAACATTATCTGGATGGCAGTGGCAGGCGTCTGCTATGTTTCTATGACATAAGTGTACAGAGACCAGAGAGATTATGCTACTCCGCACTAAGAAATGTTAATTATGCTGATGTGGGAGCTGCGAGCCAAAAAGTAGGAAGCCTTTCGTCCAACAGGAAGCTCTTATGTGACAGAGCTGAAAGAAATATTTATCTCTTTCTTCCAGTGGGATGAGTGATGCATGACCCTGGGTTCAGACACGAGGAGGAAGAGGAGGAGGAGGAGGAGGAGGAGGAAGAGACTCTGGAGTCGATTCCTAACTATTAGGGTGTTAAGTAGAATGTTGTATGTCAAATGAAGGACAGCATCATATATTACCTGATGAAAGGGGGGAGTTTTTTAATATGTTACAGGAGGAAAAGACAAAAGGACAAGATAAGACGTGTGTGTAATGTCTACGAAAGAAAAAAGAAATTGCCAGAAGGCTCAGCTCATATAACAAACTCTTCCAGAGACAAAACCCGGCTCTAGTTGCTGAGAATCAGATATGTATATTTTTGGAGCTCGGAGAGAAAGACGATAGTGGCATTAGTCTAGGTTTGATCAGGAAAGTGACTTCAGTCTGGGAGGTTTTTTAGGGATACTTTTGTGAGGACTAAACAGATTTTCTCAGTGAGTTGCAGTTTTCAAAGCCAAATTATAAAGAGATATAATATATCTAAAATGAGTATATGATTATTTAACTGTATATGTTTATTCCAGTGGGTGGTGAGATATGAAGGTGGCCAATACATGAGGCAAAAAAATACGTATTTAGAGGTAGACACTAGATTTAATAGATTATCGTTAGTTTACTCTCATATGTGTATCAAAAATGAAAATATGTAATCTAAGTAAGAACCTTTTTAAATTGTCCTCAAATGATCCTGTGTTGCAGTCTTTAATCATTAAAGCTGGTGTTAGTCTATACAGTTGTTATTGTTAAAAAATACAATGATAGGAAAAAAACAACAATGTGTTGTTTATTCCTTCAGACACTTTCATTACCCTAAACAGCAAGTCATTTTAGTTCTTAGCAAAAGATACCAAAACAAGAATAAATAGTGCATTTACAATGACTTGTATTATGTGGATTAAAACACATTTCTTGATTAGTGAGTATTTTTGGTGACAGAAAAGTGTAGCAGGAGGCCGAAACAGAGTGCTACATAAATTGAAGTATCGATAGTTTATTTAAAATATATTTTTTTAAAAGCACAGGTTTAAAAACGTTTGTTTATTTGAACTCAACTCAGAAAACAGATAGCTGATTTAGAGAGGTGTGTTGTTTGATCTGAGGATGAATTTCACGGTGTACTCAGAACCAATTATGTGCCGTACATATACATGCCATATAGCGTAATTGTTGACAATAAACTATTAAAATACATCCTTGAGCCTCACAATTACAAAGGGAGAAATGGTCCTTTATTAGGAAAGAAATATAGATGAAATCCGCCTTAACACTAAAAGGAAATGTACTTTGAATAAACAGGTGATATCCCAAAAAAAAAAGAAAAAGGAATTTGTTAAAAGTTTCTCTTTCTTTCTTTTGAACATCTCTTCTACTGTATCCAGAGATGTGTTATGTACAGGCGGTATGAACCGAACATAAAACAGCCTTGATGGAGTCTTTTAAGGAGCCAGACATAACTAGAGCCATAACGACCGGGTTTGGTATCATATCATGGGCATTCTTTTTTGCAACAAGATTAATAATTGATACTTCTGCTGACTGTTAGCACGATACGGCTTGATGTTCTGCTTCGATATTCAGCCAAGAAAGACTCACGAGTCTAAACACAGACACAGCAGTGATCAGGCTCAAGGGCATTTTGGGAGGGGCTGGGGTGGCAGACACAACAAGAGGAAGTGGTATGGGATATGGGATAATGAAATACACCTCACACTCCCAAAGGGCATCACCTCACCTATCCTGGGGCTCACAAATAGCTCAAGTAACCAAGCCACCTACTTCACAGACATGATCCACACCCCGCTGTGCCAAAACTACACCACAGCTCCCCTCCGCCAGGACCCTGTAGCTATGAGCAGTTTGTACTTTATTTGTTTGCCGACGTTGGAGTGACAGCAGCCCGAATCTGAGCTGCCATCTCGCTCCCCTCGACCTTCATCTCCAGGCCGCAGAGCAGGAGGATAAAATACCCTTCTAGGTTTCCACGCAGAAAAAAAAAAAAAGAAAGAAAAATATTCAGGAAATGAAAGTTGTAACACGATCCTCTGAGTGCCAAACGTCTCCCTGAGCAGGGACAAAAGGCCCAGAGAAAAGCTGCTGCTGGGCCCATTTTAGCCTGCAGATGATATAAGAACAGGGAGGGAAAGTGGAGAAGAGAAGGCATGCAATTAAGACATGAAATTAGGAATCATTTGAGATGCAGTGGGGGGATGTACTGAAGTTATTTCCTCAGACAGTGAAAGAGCAGGAGGCTGCTGCAGTGATGAAACTGGATTGCTGCTGCAGCCCTCTGTGCTCAGAGCCCCACATCCCACAGATATTCATGCACCAAGCAAAATAAACTTCCCATTCCGGCACTGCAGTATGTTTTCCAGCGGGCCTCTCCCGAGAGGAATCCTCCTGGGCTGCTCATTCAACACTCATGGCCAAGTCGAGTATGTCCAAGACAAAAAACAGAGAGAAAGATCGGGGTAAAATAACAAATTCTAACTGCTCCAGATTGGTATTAATGGAGCAGAAAGAGAGAATACTTCTTTGTCTGTCTGCTGTTTGGCAAGCACTTTATTCCCACTAATAAGTCTTGTGCCATGGTTGGTCAGTGGGGCACCCTGGCAGTGTGAGGGAGGGGGGGGGGAAATGCTGGTCCCTTCAGTGCTGGCTGGTGCATTTGCAGCATGGTGTCAGCGGCCGGTGGTAATTACCAGGCTCTCTCTGAGTTACCGCTACACCAATGTGCCACCGGCTCTGGTATGCCAGCTAAGCTCTGTTATTAGGCCCAGAGCTGCCACTGGACAGTAGGCTCAATGCAGCAGAGTCAGTCTCTGTACCTACTGCATCTATGTATCCATCTGTCTTGTGTTTCTGCAGAGGTGATGATTGTTTATGCAGCACAGGCTGGAGTGCTAAATTAGTAGGATCTTTGTTGTCATGTGGGAAACATGTTTATCATATGTGGCAGCTATAATTACGCAGAACAGAGCTGTCATCTCACTCCACCACAATGACTGA